CAGCTAGGGCTTAAAGAGTGAACCAGAAATACCTCCATCACATTCAGACCCATCATGCACCTGAGACAGACTATTTTAGCCAAGCTATCGCCCCTGCAGAGATCCATACAGCCTGCCAGTCTAAAGCCAATGGAACTGTGATCTGTTCATGAAAACAGAGGCATACAGAACTCCTCTATCTTCAGAATTCCATCACCAACAGAGCAGAATGCCAAGTAGAAGGTGTCCGCTACTGGATGTATAGGGAGAGATACTAATTTGTTGCCATGGCAGACATTAAATCCTGAGCCACTCATGACTATTCAGCCTGAATATTGAAGTTTCCCAGATCAAGAAGCCTGCGATGATCAAAAGTTGCTCTCATGCATTAGCTCTTTGATAAGCTCAAATAATTCTATAGCCCCTACCCACCCCACTTCAACAAAAACCTGCTCCCAATGCACAGTAAGACAGTGGGGTAGACTGCTGGGACAATGAAAGGAAAACGAGCTGCTTTTCTCCTTCACTGGACTTGACCAGGGCAGCACTTTTTGTGTTTTGCCTTCTGCTCAGCCAGTGTTAGGAGTAGCTTATCTCCCTCTCTTCCGAGTCAGCCATGCCTACATTTAGTGCAACCTCCATGAGGCCTTGTGCGTGGAAACTTTTTGATCCAAAGTGCATTCTGTTGACTTTGAACATGCACACACACACCCCCTGACCACAGCTTCAGGAAGACAGACAATTCCACCCAAGACTCTGGATATTTCTGAAATTCTCAGGCAACTTTGAAGTAAGATAATGGGAGGGGGAGTCTTACTTGTGAAAAGCGATTATGTGCATCAATCGAGGATACACAGAATTTTAGGCAGTACTGAGTAACATGCTATTCCTGGCATATTGTTTCCAGGTAGTAACATTAAGTGAGTTCATGGTCCTCTGATGAGTCTTTTTCTGCTGAAGGAGAGCCTTTTCCTCGAAACTCAAACATTCTGAATCAATTAACCAATGTAAAAGAAGAATACATATGACAATATTCTGGTCATACAAACTATGGTATGTGCAATGGCCGTTTGGTAACTGATGTACAGAACTAGTGTCGGACGCAGAAAAGTGTTAGCTGATTTACAGGATGCTTAAGTGCGGTAGTCAGCTGACCTCCAGAAGCATCATGTGGATGGGCTTTGGGCTTATTTATTTATTTATCCTCATTTTTACATACCACCCCATTCCCATGGGGCTGGATCAGGGTACAAGACTAGATAACGAATAGTAAGGGGGAAAGCTGTGGAAGAGTTCAAGCTATTTTCACTTAATGGGAGAGTGGCCAAGTGCAGTGGCAGGAGACAGTAAAAAGGCTGAACATTCAGTCTTACCTGGGGGAAATACTCCTTTCTGACCCCAATCCATGTAGATGAAACAAGTAAGTAAATAAATCACTCAGTAAAAGAAAATCATGACAAAATTTTCTTAATCAAAAAATAGTATGAGCAATATTTACTTAGATAGTAATCATTGTCATAGGCCTAGTTCATACATAACATAAAAATATGGTTTAGCATTACATGCAAAATCTTTCGGCTCATGAACACTGGGCCCCTCCTCCTTGTACCCAGACAAGATCAGAAATGTTTGTTTCCATGTTCAGTTATCTGCAGTTTATTGCTACATCCAAACCCTAAGCTATGGTTAATTTCAGTTTTGGTTTAAGAAAAAAGCCAACTTCAAAAACCTCTGTTTGAAGCTGGCTTGCTTCAATATGCCATAGTTAAGACTGATCACAGACCAGAAAAAGAAAACAAGAAAAAGACTGGGTTAAAACAAAAAACAAACTGATCTTCCGGACTAGGATGAAAAGGGGAGCTACTGGGTCTGGGTTCATTTATACAATGCTGAACCATTGTTATGCATTAAGACTGAACAAAGCCCGGTTATGCAGGGTAGCCTTTATTACAATAAAGCCAAAGAATCGTTTATTTGAACAAAAATGGTGTTTGATTATTTAAATGAACTTTGCAGCAAACGTTAAACAAAAATTTGGGAAACCGCTAAGAGAAAGGACTGGCTTAGTCTGTCTGAAACATAGGTACCTCAATCTACAACATTCTGGTAGGAGATATCCATCAGGAAATAGCATCTACGTTCTCTTATTCAAAGCCTAACAGTTTATACTTACAGCTCAGGAGGGCTCATAAAAATAGGAGGACAATAATTTTGAAAGCTAATTTGGGAATTGGAATCATCTCCGCAAATAATAGTGTGCTATTGAACATCGGAGAATCATATGTTTAAAAGTCACAATTTTTAGAGGGGTAGCCATGTTAGTCCGCTGCGGCAAAAACAACAAAGTATTTGGTGGTGCCTGAAAGACTAACAACATTATTTTGTTTGTCTGGCAAGAGTTTTTGTAGACACTGTCTAATTCTTCAGTCACATCTGATAAGATGTGATGATCACCTGACGCAGTGGATTGTGCCCACAAAAGCGTATTGCAGAATAAATTAATTTTATAGTCCTTAAGGTTTGCTCTTAATACATTCAGTTACTGCACAGCACAGTGAAATAAAACACATTGCTGACTTTTCTTTCACTTTTTGCAAAAATTGCCTTTTATGATGGAATTCCCCCCAAAATTGGGCTACTACTCCACGTAGTGTATTAGGATATTTGGAGAGTATGGGAGGAAAGGTTAACAAAGAATGCTTTCTTAGCCAAGAATCATTAAAATTTTGTTTCAGCACAAAGGTAATGTACAAGAAATACGGGCAATACCCAATGGTAGCTTTGTGTTGAAGGAAAGCCCTTCTACAACCACAGGGAAGGGTCCCCAATTTCTGCTGCTCTCCATCACCACCCACTAAGAAAAGCCACCTTTATTCTTATACATTGTTGTAGCCTTAAACACATTTCCACATTTCTTGCTTTGACACTGTGCTAAACTCTGTATTGACTAACCACACAGAGTACCGCTTTTTTGTAACTAGATGCTACATTTTTGTTTCTTTTGCACTCCTCACTTGCCCAGATTGATCTATCTATAGCTAAAACTCAGCATCAACTGTTTTTTCTAACAAGCTGCAAAGACACATTTTGAGATATGAAACCATATATGTGGCTCAGCTGTGCTTATCTTTCCCTAGCTAGACCAAGATTACAAAGATACACTTAATCAAACTCCTAATCTAATTTTAAAATGAGGAAATATCACCAGCAGGAGAGTTTGCTTTGGAAGCACTCTGTTCAGTAACTATTGTAATATATCATTTTCAAAAGTTCACTTCAGAGCAGTCTTTCAATTTTGATGCATGCAGCTTTTCTATGTTTAATGCATTTTGTGACGTGTTTCTTCTGGGAATTCTGCTTGAAGTACATTTTCAGCAATATTTGGTTAAGAAAAACTTGCATAATAAATGGAATTTCACAGTAGGATCTTATATTAACCTGAATTCTTTAGATAGCACATTCCTTAAATTATAGCCATTTAAGTTTTGGTACTTGAGTGTTTTGTTTTGTTTGATAAATACTAAAATGTGCATGATAACTAGCTGGATAAATAATGTAGAAAGGAAGTGCTAAAATACCCATTAAGAAAGAAAAGATATTAAGCGCTCTTAACCTAGAAAAATGCAGCATTTGTTTTTAAAAAAAGAATGGATTTTTATCCTTTCTCCAGCTTAGCAAAATGTTCTGTACTTAATAGCAATTTCAGAGGACATCAGACACTTATGTAACCTTGGTTAGATTTTCCCCTCCTATTACGAGATAAAATTTCAGATGTCTGTTTTTTAAAAATATCTTGCTTTTGTATCAGACACAGTTCCCAGTTAAATTAATAATGAGTTTGTGGGATCCCACTGAGTACAAGGCTATTATGTTCCATTTATGTAGAGAAATGATATGAAATAATATTCAATATTAGCAAAGCATTGTTCAGAAAGGAATTGAATGACATTTAACTACTTTAAGGAATGCAGAACTGTTTTATATCAAGCCATGCAGTTCTTTTTTTACTTCTGTATACAGTTGAATCATTTCTTACAAATTGCTAATTCCTGATTACTTGCATTTCAGAACACCATGCAAGCATTCCTGGATTAGGCTTTATATGAAGGAATTCCTTTTAAAAAGTAATGATGTGGTTAAATATTTTGGCTCACTTGCTCTGGAAGAAGCTGACCCTAGTAAATCGGATGCAATTGTGTAAAAAGAGGGCAGAGAACTAAAGAACTGGATTTAAGAAGTGCTTTAAAAATGTCCTCTTCTAATGCCTCTGATTTAATGCCAGACTTTCAGTATTGAGGTTAGTATATGTAAGCACAACTGTCTTTCACTGTTCTTTCTACAAACTTTCTTAAGATGCATAGAGAAGGGAGGAACTCTGTGGCTGTCAATTTGTGCGTGTACAGAGAAATCCACTGCTGTTTATCCATACAAGGTGTAGCACATGTTTTCTAGATTTTCAGGAAATCGACTTCGCTCTCAAAACACTTTCTCAAGCTTCCCAGCTTGACAGCTTCTCCCCACTGTCAAACATCCACCTGATTAGTGTTTCCCCACCAAGGCAACTATCCAAGCATGCCTTATTTACACAGCAGTAACTGTGTGAAAGATGCCCTGTCCAAAAGTTAGGCTGAAGCTTTCACAAAACTGACAACGGGGCCTTTTCTTCGGGTGTTAAGGAAAATATTTAGTCTCCATTAAAATGTACATGTTTGCTGATGGCTTTAACTAGATTTCTCTCATTAAGAATCAAAACAGATTTTAAAGTGTTAAATGACATTTCCAGGCCTTTTCTTTTTTTCTTTTTTGGTATTAGTGAAAGGAAAAACAGCCCTTTGCAGCCACAGATGTTCTATATTTCTCAGTAATTTCAGCAGTCTTCTTTCATTGTTAAAACAACAGCTTTCTTTTGCCAAATGAAAAAGACCCTACCAGTGGAGCAGAAACCCCCGAAAGAGCAGCAGCAGTGTGCCACAAAACATCTGGATGCAGCTGAAACAGTTGAGACAGAGAAGCCTTCTTACCTTGTGTATGTAAGATCCAAAGGGAGGAGAACACTGGAAGACTGAGAAAATGCTCTGATCAGCTGCCGGTAGCATGCCGCTGGCTTTTATGATCAGGTGGGAGGAGCTGCTGTGCATCGTAGGTGGGCAGGGAGCAGGGCAGGCAGTAGCCAGAGGCCACTAACGTAGCCAGTTCTTCTGTTCTCAAGGAACGGCCAAGTGGGGAGGGGGTGACATAGTTAGGGTCCTGATTTAGTTAGGGTCCTCTGGCTCAGTATTGTATGGGATGTTTGTTCACTCATTATTCCTCTCCTAAACAGTGCATAATAATGTTGATGTCATGTCCCCCCCCCCACCCTTTTTAGGGGCACTACCAGTAGAGGATATAACAGCTCTTCTGTGTAGAAGGATGTTTAAAAGCAGGTTGATTTTTGGGCTTTCTCAGTGGACATACATAAAAGCCTCTGAGCGGCCAGTGAACATGCCAGTTGATGCTCAATGGATGTGCTGTCAGAGAATGACAAGGGGGCAGGAGCCAAGGTCTCCATTCAGCAAAATATGCAGGAAAGCCCCATAAGCAGCAGTGTTGGCTTATTGGCTGCATCTTGCAGTAAATGAAATAATTTGCAGTGCCATGCAAGGCTGGTCCTACCATTAGGCAGAATGAGCCAATTACCTCAGATAGCAGATTTCAGCTGTCATGAAAGTGCAGCAAGTACTTCAGTTTTATTTATTTTAATGCATCACTCCTGAATTTTTACTGCTAAGGAATGGGATGCTTGTGGAATTTTTGCCCCAGGGTCCAAATTAACTTTGCTGACTTTGGCTACTATCCACTCTGAACTGGGGAGGGAGTATTTGTTGCTATGCCTCAGTGAGCAATGTCTTGGGCTAATCTTATTTCATCTAAAAAGACAATTAGCTCCATAATCTAAAGGTATCTTACTGAATTTGTGACTGAATTGTTACATTTGGATGTAACAATAAACCATGGCTTAGTGCTGTGAGAATGAACTTTCTCCCAGACTCATATGCTCTCCCGTCTCTTCTTTTTGGTGCAGTGCTGAGAACATTTTAAATTTCTGCTTCTGTTTTAGGTTAACCACAGTTTAACATTTCATCCAAGCCCTAATCTGTGATTAATCCTAACTATGGCTAGTGATAAAAAGGCAGCATATTTAATTATGTTTCGAAGTTGACTTGTTTCCATTACCCAATGTTAACATTAACCCCAATTTTACTGAGTTTCAGAAAGCATGGCAAGTGCAGCTAATTAAAAATGGAAGAAAAAGCTTCTGAACTCATCTTCATGCATGTGTCAAAAGTTAAAAGAAGAGAAGCAAAAACCATCTGAACCAAGGAACAGATTTTTTGGCACATATTTTTGACAATATGTTTAAACCATGGGAACAAGGATGACCCAGGAACTGGAAACAAAGCCCTATGAAGAGAGGTTGAAAGAACTGGACATGTTTAGCTTCAAGAAGAATAGACTGGAAAAATATGATAGCACTCCTCTGTGAAAAGCTGTCACAGAGGAAGGCCAGCATACATTCCTGTTGTGGCCAAACATCAGGAAAAATTTCCTGACTGTTAGAGCAGTATAACAATGGAACCAATGACCTATGGAGGTTGTGGTCTCCCACTCTACAGGGATTCAAGATGCAATTGGAAAGCCATCTGAGAGGGACGATTTAACTTGGAGTCCTGTACTGACCCCTCTTTGTCCCTTCCAACTTTATTATTCTATTCTATGGTTTAATGTTACATCCAAATCAACTCCAAAAATATTTAGGATAGCTTGGCTAGGAAAAAGCTAGAATAGCTGTTTCCCATATTTATTAAGGATGTATTGTAATCTGCACTAGAAATTATGGGTCACACACCAAGATTGACAAGTATACTAGATAATTAATCCATACTGTACAGATAAACATGTAGCACAACCTTCTATATCCCAGTCAGGTCAAGATGTTTATCAGACTGCCTTCTCAAGGGACTCTGTCTTTGTAATTCAGGAGGAAGGGCCTTTTCTGTGCTAGGATGATACATATTTGCTTGGCACATTCTTTCCTACTTCTTTGATGTGGACTGTCCTCCCATACCTTAAGTGAAACTGAAGTTTGCTGCTTTTACCAGGCTGTCATTGTATTTTTTTTTAAGTTTGTTTTTGGGGAAGCGGGAGATGTTTTGAGTAGTAGTTCTGATTTTATTGTACTTAATTCTTTTATATGTAAGCTACCTTGGTGGCATACAAATGCTGTAAACATATCATATATTGTATATCTAGGCACTCACCATTCTTTCTAAATAAGGCCGATGTGCTATGCTCCACCACAGCCATTTTCATTCTAAATGAATGGTGCATATTTTTATTTCATATTCAGAACATAATGCGCCATGATGAATCGAACCAAAAACCTATCTAGTCTAGCATTCTGTTCTAAAGTGACCAACCAGCTGCCTGTGAGAATATCACATGCAGGAGATGAGTACATTACTTTCCTACTCATGTTCCTTAGCTAATGGTAACTTATAAATATACTGCCTCTGATACTGCAGGCAATGTACAGCCAACATGACCAGTGGCTATTGGTTGTCTCATTTGCCAGGTGATTGCCTTCTTTCCCATGTTGGATTCATAATTGATGTAACCCCCCTGTGTTCAATAGGACTTAAGTGTCCATCCATTAACTAAGAAATTAGCTGGTAATTGTCCTCTCCCAGGAAGAAAATCGACCTGCAACTCTTGGATTTCATCTTGTTTAGAAATTCAGGTGAACTGAGAGGTAGTAGTAAATGTAAGTTGGAGTGTCACAACATGGCCATGATCTCACAGGAACTGGGCATCTTCACATTCCAAAGTAGGGTAACTCTGGGAAGATGCCCAGTATGCAACCAGCGAATATTCCTGAGCTAACTAAGCAGTCATGGGATAAAAGGCGGGTCCTCTTATGGATTACTAATAGAACAGAAGACAGAGGGTGGGAATAAATGGCAATTTCTCCCCAGCAGAGTCTGACAGGGTTCTGTATTAGAACCAATGCTTTTCAACCAATTCATAAGTGATCTGGAATCAGGAATAAGTAGTGAGGTGGCCAGATGTACTGATGACACTGAACTTTTTAGAGTGGCTAAAACCAAAAGGGATTGTGAGGAACTCCAAAGGGATCCCTCTAAGTTGGGAGAATGGGCATCAAAATAGCAAATGAAGTTCAATATAACTAAGTGGTTTGTGGTTTTACATCGAATACTGGAAGCTGTGATACTTTTATTTTATTGTATTTTATCCATGTTTGTTGTAAACTGTCTCATGATGTTTATGAGGGGACAGTATAGAAATGTTTTAAATAAATAAAATAAGTGAAGAGTAATGCGTGTTGAGGCAAAAAAATCCCAACTTCATCTAAATGCTGATGGGATCCAAACTAGCATGGCAAACCTAACCTGCAAGATGCAGGTCATGCAAACTGAATTCTCTTAGGTACGTAAGGCCTTCTTGCATACTGTGTTGTTAACAAGCATCCATTTTGCATGGATGTATGCCTGAGCGTGCAATTTCTGACATGCAACCATAGGACTTGAACCAATCTTTTAATATTGAGCACCAAATGTCCCAAAGTTAGGTACCTTAAGAGCTGAGGGATTTGGAGACTGAAGACACAGCTGCTTAATCCAGGACTAATCTATTGAAAGAAATAAAAATGTACATTCCAAGGATCAGTCTACATGCTTCATTCATGTATGCGCCAGTTCCAGCTGTTAAGGTAGTCACATTAACAGCAATAGTTTACTGTAGTCACCTGGCACACAGGGTGAGGGAAGAAGGAGAAGATGACCTAGCAGTGGAGAGAAAAGGGGGAGGAAATGGATGTGGGGAAAGACAGTAGGGAGAAGAAGATTGGTAGCTAGGTATGTGCCAATTAGCAGAGCACAAACACACCAAAGTTCTCCAGATTCCATCTCAATGATCATTACAACCAGAGCCTTTATCAGATTACAGATTTTTTTTATTTTACACAGAAACCCATTAATGTTCTAGGTATGCATCAACAGTGCATATTTAAAAAGATATATGCAGTCTTCTTCCCTTGATTGAAGAGTATTTGTACACATTTTTCAAAAGTACACATTTTAATGCACATTTTCAATTTGCAATCAGACACATTTTGGTGGATCCATTAATCACATTGCACATTCAGAAATGTATGGAATTTGACCATAGATTTTTGATCAGAGATTGTAAGATGCAAACCAAGTAAAATCCTGATCAAAAAATGAAACCAAATGAATTTCTCATAGATCCCTATGATTGACTAAGCTTGTGATCAAACAGAGTAGCTGGAAAAAGTTGCTTACCCCTGAAGACACACAAGCCTAGGAAAGAGACAGAAAAAGAAGGGGGGAAGTTGATGGGGTTCACTAGCAGACTGGGGTTGATAAAGGAAAAGAAGGGAAGGTGGTGGGCAAGCAAAGAGATGAAGATAGTAACAGAAGAACGGAGTCAGTGATCTGTATCTGTACAGAATGAGATGAAGTGCAGCTAATGGAATGCAGCAAGAAAGTGGGTGAGAGGAAAGAGGAAGGGGGTTCACAAGATTGCTCTTTCAGGGAAGGGCGAGGCTTCTTCAGGCTGACTATTAGGTTGGCTGACAGCTGTTTATATACCCTGAAATTATATTACTTATTAAAATTCAAACAAAAAAAATCTAGTCTCTTGAAGCTTATTGCAAATAAGTTATATATTAAAATGAGAAATGCTACATAACAAAGATACTCTGAATGTTATTTATTACCACTTCACTGTAACACCCCCCCCCATTTTTCATTATTTTTATTATTAACTAAGCCTTTCTTTTAAAAGAAAGCACAACCACATTCTGTTATTCTGCACAGCCCATTTTAGAAATAATTCTTCCTTTCATTTTATTTATTGACTGTAGGATAAAAGACATTAATGATTTCTGCAGTTGTCAAAATAGATATTTAAAAATGGGTGGTTTCAGGCTATGTTCCAGTTTGCATTGTGCTGTCCATTATTTTAAGACCCTATTCCCCAACATCTTTCAGGGAGTTT